CAAAGACGACTTGTCTCTTCAACCCCCAGTTTCCTTCATATCAAATGAAGAGCAAATGCACGCATATCAGTGACCATGATGGTGGTTATGCTATTAGTCAGTTGTTTCCCAGAAGAGATAAAACTTGAATAAACAAAAGTGTCGAAATTGCGACAGGAATTATGAGACAACCCAATAACAAGTGCCACAGTGGAGGCAGGCAGTGGTGTGTACGTCACGTAATAACGACGTTATACGGATATGTACGAAACGGTGTTGGGGCTCTGCTTTTGCCATCCAAGAATGGATTTTCCCCAGGTGGTCAGGCGTGCTTCCCGCTCATGGTCGGCCGGACCATAAGGTTTCCATCAAAACTTCATTCTGCAGCAGTCCTTGCCATACTGATGGCGTGTGCTGGTGCATCGGCTGCGCTCAGGTATCTGCTACAATACCCTGGTAGCAACGTGCGGAGGCACTCCCAATTTAGGGTGCAAGGGGCGCTCATCAAAAATGACCGCAGGCCCAGTATGAGGTTGAAGTTCATAGCTCGTTTCGTCTTTGCCGTTGCGATTGGACCACTAGCTCAGTACCCTATCAGTAGCAGAGACTGGTCAAACACAGCGCTGATCTTCTCTGTTGTCCTCCTTGCTACAGAGTTCATTTGAGGATCGTAAAGCATAATCATTCATTATAGTCACTGACCTATTTTTATTCCTAGTTGATTAACCCGTTAAGGGCTTGCGCTTCCGAAACCACGCTGTTAAGGCTCTTGAAGCATACTTCAACATACTAACGTATTTCGCAATGAAACGGTCTTAGACGGAAGGAATTTGAAATTGAATAGAAATGCGACAGGAATTATGAGACAACCCAATAATTCCTCCATCACACAGTGCTTTCGCTACGCGTGTTCCATGTTCCTCCTTATGTATATTACGATTTTAACCAATTTTTTTCATATTTTTGCTTTTCTGATCTCAAACCTATTTCTTACAAGTTCTTCATTTCCTGAGTTCTCTAAAATGTGCGAATTTTTGTCTCCAGCAAATCATCACTAACGAAGTCGTCTTGGTAGTATGGTTTAACGCATTTGTGGAACTGGTGAGCATAACCATGCTCTACGTATACGCTCCAACATATTTCAACTCTGCTTTAGGATTCGACGTTTCCTCCACAGGTACGTAATAATTTAATAAACGTTTATCCATTAATTTATATGGAAAATTGCATCGAATGTGAAGCTGAGGGTAAAAAGAAACGAAAATAACAAAACACTTAGGCAAAATTGGATTCACATACACAACATCAGCAGTGCCTACTCCTTTTCCGCTGCTTACAAATCGTTAGGCGGAAAACGAACACCTCAATGAGCATTCACACGACCACAGGTCACTACAATCAGTTCTAAAAGACACTACTCCAATAAAATGTTACTTCCGAAAATGAGAACAGTGCAACCATAATAGGTGAATCTTCGTAAATGCGAAAGGTTCTCCTTAATGAAGAAACCAACGTCTCATATGTAATGTGATGAGTGATAGAGACTTTCAGGAATACTGTATTTGGATGAGCGAAGAGTTTCAAGTGTAAAATATAGGGGCCAAAA